GTTGTTACAGTTTCAAATCTGTTTCATTTTTTTGTTTTGAGACTGAGTTTCGCTCTTTTTGCCCAGGCTGGAATGCAATGGCGTAATCTCGGCTCACGGGACCCTCCGCCTCCCAGGTTCAAGCAATTCTCCTGCCTCAGCCTACTGAGCAGCTGGGATTACAGGCATGCGCCACCATACCCAGCTACTTTTGTATTTTTAGTAGAGACAGGGTTTCTCCATGTTGGTCAGGCTGGTCTCAAACTCCCGACCTCAGGTGATCCACCCACCTCGGTCTCCCAAAGTGCTGGTATTACAGGCGAGAGCCACCACGCCTGGTCCATTTTTTAAAAGGAAGTGGTTGAATCAGATTACATCTAGAGTCTCTTCCAATTCTAACTTCTAACTTCAAACATCTTTTAACTGTTACAATTCCTACACTATAGTAGTAATTAAAATGTTATTGTCCTCTTGTTCTCATCTTATCTTCCTTTACATATATCTTACCTTACAAGAATATAATTATGTAAAGGGTTTGCTTAATAATCAATCCCATGGGCCTATAAGGTAATGGTGTAGAAACTCTAATCCTGAAACCATATCTAGCTCTTCACTAAATTTCAAATATAAATACTAAAACAAGTATGTCATTTGTGCCTACAGTTGCAAATAAAATGCAACACAGCATTAAAATCCTTAATGAAATATTTAAATGGCATAAAATATTTATTTGTTCAAGAACATTCGTATCTGAGTACTCTTACTATATCATCCTCTTCCCATCTATCCTATCCCTTCATCTATTTTCACCTTAACCTATTCTATATTCTTACATTTTGACAATTTTAATATATGTTAAAAAATACTTTGAGAAGAACAAAAGTAAAAGCAAACTTTAATAATCACATTTATTTTTAAAAGAGTTGATGGAAATTCTTATATTTCTCTCCAAATAAATCACACAAACTCTTGCTTATGATGCCTAGCCCCAATAGAAATTTTATTCCATGTAGGCCATTAGACCTAATAAAATAATGTTTTCCATTAATAAATAAGAAATAAACCAGATTAAAACAGGATATACAACCCCAACAAGAGACTAACAGAAGAGTCACAGTAGTTTTATGGCCTCGTTATTAATTAAATTCAAATATATATTTTGTTCTTTAACCTACAATGAATAGAAGTAAAATTTTAGTATATTTTCTTTTTCTTCACAAAGATAAAAGTCAACTCTCTAAAATATCTTACAGGCCAGGTGCGGTGGCTCACAACTGTAATCTCAGCAATTTGGGAGGCCAAAGTGGGTGAATCACCTGAGATCAGGAGTTCAACACCAGCCTTGCCAATATGGCAGAACCCCAATGCTACTAAAAATACAAAAATTAGCTGGGTGTGGTGGTGTACACCTGTAATCTCAGCTACTTGGGAGGCTGAGATAAGAGAATTACTTGAACCCAGGAGGCGGGGGTTCAGTGAGCCGAGATCGCCCCACTGCACTCCAGCCTGGGCAACAAAGTAAGACTGTCTCAAAATAAATAAAGACAATAAAATATCTTACAATCTAAATATCAGCTTTTAGTCTCTTGATGTACAATAGTAACTATTAAAGAAAGCTTTGATTTTCATTAAAACTCTGTAACAGCCATTACTGGCTAAAGAGGCATTACATTATCAGTTGTAGTTTTTCTCAAAAGGTAGTGCCACTAAAATAGAAAGTTTTTAATAAATTATTGGTACATTATTTAGCTATTATCACTACCCACTATTATTAGATATCAACTGAATCCAGGGAAAAGAATGGCTAATGTCATATCCTGGTTGTGGAAGTTTTAAAACATGTTTACAAATTCTTTGACATTCTTCCCATCAAGAGGTGGGATCTATATCACCTCCCACTGAATCTGGGCATATTTTAGCAACTCATTTACAACTAAAAAGGATGAAGTGAAGTGACACGATGTAACTTCCAAGGCTAGCTCAGAAAAGGCTCTACAGGTTCTACTCTTGGGCTGTTGGCCTGGGAGAAGTGAGTCACTATGTAAGACGTCCAACTTGAGACCAGCATGCTGGAGAAACCACATGTGGTCATACTGATCAACAGCCAGCTGAGTTCCTAGTGGACAGCCAGCAGTGACTATCAGCCCTATGAGTGAGCCGTCTTGGATCTCCATCTCAGTTTAAAGCCCTCTGATGACAGCTGCAGCCAACAACGAACTGCAACCACATATTAACCCAAAGTGAGAACTGTCTGGATGCCTTTCCCACGTTCCTAAGTCATAAAATTGTGAGCAAAATGAAATGGTAATTTTAAGACATAAAGCTTTGGACAAATTTGCTGCATAGCAATAGTAATGACAATCACGGTTTATCCACTTTATAGAAAGAACACTTAGACTAGCAGACAGAACAACAAGTAAGCAGTTTTAACTCCACCACTAACTAAAGGGCATTTACCAGCCTTAGCGAATCAGTTAATTCTCTGGAAGTCAGATTTTTCATTCACAAATAAGAAAGACAAAGTGAATTATATGGTCCTTTTAGGCGCAAGTATTCATAATTTTTATAACATTTGAATTGCCTGACACTAATTTTCATTTCGTTTTTGTTGTATCACATGACTTTTCTATTTCTTTTTTTTTTTTTGAGATGGAGTCTCACTCTGTCACCCAGGCTGAAGTGCAATGATGCAATCTCAGCTCTGCAAACTCCACCTCCCAGGTTCAAGCGAATCTCTTGCCTCAGCCTTCCGAGTAGCTGAAATTACATGCATGTGCCACCATACCCAGCTAATTTTTGCATTTTTTTTTTTTCTTTTTTTGAAATGGAGTCTCACTCTGCAGCTCAGGCTCGAGTACAGTGGCACGATCTTGCTCACTGCAACCTCTGCCTCCCAGGTCCCAGTTCAAGCAACTCTTCTGTCTCAGTTGCCCAAGTAGCTGGGATTACAGGCACAAGCCACCAAGCCCAGCTAATTTTTGTGTATTTTTTTTAGTAGAGATGGGGTTTAACCATGCTGGCCAGTCTGGTCTTGAACTCCTGACCTCGTGATCCACCCACCTCGGCCTCCCAAAGTGATGGGATTACAGGCGTGAGCTATGGCGCCCTAATTTTTGTATTTTCAGTAGAGACAGGGTTTCACCATGTTGGCCAAGCTGGTCTGACCTCGTGATCTGCCTGCCTTGGCCTCCCAAAGTGCTGGATTACAGGCGTGAGCCAACACTCCCAGCCTAAATTATTTTAATAAACTGCTTTGAACAATGACCAAACAATTTCATTATGTTATAGTTGTCTAAGGTTTCTACTGGCTACAGACATAAGACTCCTACCCAGGTGGCTTTTGCTAAAGAAGTACCCATTCATTCACCCATTCATGTTCAACTCCTAATCTTCTGAGAACTTGCCTTTTGACAGGCCATTCCACCTCCCTACAAAATGCCCTTAAAGCAGAATAAACAGTTTAAAACTACATGCGTATTATCAATTACTTCCTTCTATGGTATACGAAGAATTAGCATTCTTACTCCCACCATTCTCCTCCCCATCTTCAAAATGGAATTATTACAGTTGTTAAAATAATAAATCATATTTATATGGTTTTGAAAGTCTATTTTAAATATCAGCAGGCTTTTCCCATTTGTCATTATAGCAATATGATGCTCAGAAGTTACTATTTTGTTGCAAAACAAAAGCAAAATTTGTAAGGTAATCATTTAATAACTCTATTTTATTTCTTTAACACACATAATAGTGTCTACAATATGCCGGGCACCAGGGCTCTAAATGCTTACATGTATCAACTCATTCAACCCTCAGAATATTCTCATGAAATAAGCACTATTATTTCCATTTCACAGATAAGGAAATTTAGATATGAAGAAGTTAAGACACTTGCCCTAGGTCACTCTACTAATAGGTAAAGGAGCCAGAATTCAAACGCAGGCAGTCTAATTCCAGAGTCAAACTCCTAAACAGCATAATAAACTGCCTCTCCAAACTGATGAAAATTCTTGAAAATTGTCCAAAATGAGACTCCACAAAATGTAACATTTTGTGAAAGCCTTTTTGGAGGGGAAGAACTACTATAAAATTTAGATTTTAAGGTGACAAATCAATTACAAGACTTCCATAACAGAAAAAGTATATTTGGCTTAGTTCACATTACATTATCAATTCAAAATAAATTTCCAAAAGAAAAAAGACGGGCTGGGCGCGGTGGCTCACGCCTATAATCCCAGCACTGTGGGAGGCCGAGGTGGTCAGATCACGAGGTCAAGAGATTAAGACCATCCTGGTCAACAAGGTGAAACCCCATCTCTACTAAAAAATACAAAAAATTAGCTGGGCATGGTGGTGCGTGCCTGTAGTCCCAGCTACTCGGGAGGCTGAGGCAGGAGAACTGCTTGAACCCAGAAGGCGGAGGTTGTAGTGAGCTGAGATCATGCCATTGCACTCCAGTCTGGGTAACAACAGCAAAAGTCCGTCTCAAAAAAAAAAAAAAAAAGACATATATGTTAAATGTAATTTTATATTTTTTATTTTAATAATTAAATGTATTAGAAATATAAAATTTTAATTTTATAAGCAAAAAGATTATAAGCAAATATAACAGGAATTTTTCTCTTATAAATTATGCACTAATAAAATTAGAAATATAAGATTTATTATTCATAAACACTACAAAAATTGAAATATCAAATTAGTGGTCTTTTTCCCAGTACATATATTTAAAAAAAAAATCCTTGACATGTAAACTGTAACTTTATTATGAGATTAGAAAAATAGTTACATTTTATAGTATTTTAATAAATTATTCTTAATTTAGCAGAATTTTAAAAAATATAGACCTTGTTCTGTCACTAAGTAATTGTGTGATCTAGGCTTCCCAGAAGCCATTCTGGGTTTCAGTGTCCTTGTCTACAGAATGAAGAACTTTAACTACATAATACCTACAAATCTATATAGTTCTAAAACTCATAAAATTATATTTTTTTTAAAACATTTTGAACTTTAAGTCTCACCTCATCTGAAGAATCTACTTGTCCCAAAGTTCCTGTTGCACCTACAAAACCTTTGGAAGAAAAGAAAAATAGTTGTTCTTCATAGTTGCTACATATTGCTTTACTTTCAGATTATTCTGAGAAATACAAATATCAAAAAGCTAAATTTCGTTACCTTAGGACAGCTCATTCTAACGGTTATCTTCTTGGCGAAGTCCAACACATATCTTTTTTTTTTTTTTTTTTTTTGAGACGGAATCTTGCTCTGTCACCAAGGCTGCAGTGCAGTGCACAATCTCAGCTCACTGCAACCTCCACCTCTGGAGTTCAAGTGATTCTCCTGCCTCAGCCTCCCAAGTAGTTGGGCTTACAGGTGCCTGCCACCATGCCCAGCTAATTTTTGTATTTTAGTAAAGACGGGGCTTCACCATGTGGGCCAGGCTGGCCTCAAACTTTCAGTCTCAGGTGGTCCGTCTACCTCGGCCTCCCAAATTGCTGGGATTACAGGCGTAACCGCTGGGCCCAGCCTCCAACATTTATCTTAAATAAGTTTGGACCTAATAGGTTGATACTTCAACAGGAAATCTTCAGTGAAAACCCAGATTTAATATAGTAATTACAAATGGTGTTTCAGAAGGATCTCTTTCTTTTTAGTTTTAAACCACAGTTTACTAAAACACTGAGGTAGTAAAGTTATGGGCTACTCTTGAATAACAACTGTACACTTTTCATGAGCTAGAAACAAAGCCTTAATAAGCTAATCAAATTCCATTTAAGAAAAATGCATCTCTTCTTTGGCCAATCTATTCTTTTTTGGCTCAAAATTTTTTACGATTACTACTTTTCTTGCGAAGAATAATACTGTTTTAGCTCAAAATAAATTTTTCCAATAATGAGTAAAGTTTGAGAGGTATTTTTGGTTTCAATACAGAAAAGTTACTACTTTCAAATTTAATATTTAGACAAACCTTGAACTGCCAGAGAACTAGTACCAGCAGATGGTTCCTGCACACCATATACAAGCTTATCCTCAGGATATGTAAGTCCAGAGCTCTTCAAAGCTATAAGGTACTTTTCATGACTTTTCTTTGCACAAGCATTTTCCCCAAGACCTAATTAAAACAAACTTCAAATCAGAAAAAAACATTCCATTCAAAATCTCAGTATGGTATTTTCATTAACTAACGTCTATAAATAGGTAAATATTCTAATGAAGGGGGAACCGTAGAATGAATAATGTAAGATAGCTTCAGATAACATTTTGGTGCTTATGTTTATCACCAGAATGTACAGCATGTTTATGCCAAATAATGAAATCTACAAAGTAGGTTAGCATCTAAAATATCCAAGGGAATGTGGGACACAAAGATTAGTAAGACATGATCTTAGCTTTCAAGAAACCTAAAAATTACACAAAAGACAGGCAGAGAGTTAATATGGTAGATGATAATTATGTAGCAGAATTCACCATTTGGCTTGACAGTCTGTGTTCTCGTGTTACCAACCATGCAGTTATCCAAAGCACAGTGCTTGGGAAAGGCTTAGGAATGTTTTATATAACAATATATCATTCAACAATTCTAAGTTTTATAACTTAAACTGTGTATTATTAGAGAATCTTAGGCCATATAACCCAAAAACCTAGAATATCAAAAGTGAAAACACAGACATGATAGTTGTTACTGTTTAAAGAAAGGGAATCACTTCTCAACCTTCTGGCTAAGATCGACTGTTTAAAGAGAGATAGAGCATAATTATGTCACATCAAAAGTTAGGAGACCTGGGTTCTAGTACCAACTCCAACAAAAATTGTGAGGTTTAAATAGGTCATTTCATTTTTCTAGGGCTCAGTTTCCTCATCCATAAAACAAGAAGTTCTCTTAATAACTTCCAGCTTTAGCATTCTATGAAGAATCTACAATTTACCTTTTTTAAGTTCTGAAATACTCAATTTCTTATCATTATAATAATATATGTAAACCATAAACTTCTTCTAACATTTTACTTACCAGAAGTTAGATCTTTGTAATTTTGCTGGTTTGTCAAAACCTGAGTAAGAACAGACCGCATTGCTCCTCCCATTTTAGTTAGGTCTTCTAAAAAGGAAATTTGAGGTTCCAAAAGCTGAAGGACTTTGTTAAGGTCCTTTTCTGATGGTCCATCAGCTGCTAAAAGAAAAAAAATCAAATAAGGATGGTTTTCTTTAAAATATCTTACTAAAAATAACAGTATGTATTCTTTCAAAATTACAGTGGCTTATAGTATTTTATAATCAAAAAAGTCAATACAAGAACTCTGTTTAGAAAACTGATATCTACCCACCACCTACCCAAGTAAGGGTAGACTTGCTCAGGAATTCAGTCCTTTGGAAAAAAGATGGAAAAACAGAAATGACCTCCTAACATATGAAGCACTTAATTTGTATAAGAAGCATTTGAACATAAAAAATTAGCCAGATGTGGTGGTGTGCACCTGTAGTCCCAATTACTCAGGAGTCTCAGGTGGGAGAATGGCTTAAGCCTAGAGGTGAAGGTTGCAGTGAACTGAGATTATGCCACTGTACCCAGTCTGGGTGACAGAGTAAAACCCTGTCTCAAAACAAAACAAACAAACAAACAAAAAGCAGCATTTGATCTGTGGGCCCTATACTTCCACATACATAAATGTTACCATAAGATCGTTTCAGAAAAAGATAATATTTCAGAAAAAGTTTAGATCACATCCTGGAATAAAACAAGACAGAATTCAAATATATTCAGAGTAGTATAAGAATATTAGGACAAAATTATGTCAAATTTAAACCTGTATAACACATAACCCGCTGGGCGCAGTGGATAATCCCAGCACTTTGGGAGGCCGAGGCAGGTGGATCCCAAGGTCAGAAGTTCAAGACCATCCTGGTCAACATGGTGAAACCTCATCTCTATCAAAAATACAAAAATTAGCCAGGCATGGTGGTGCATGCCTGTAATCCCAGCTACTTGGGAGGCTGAGGCAGAAGAATCACTTGAACCCGGGAGGCAGAGGTTGCAATGAGCCAAGATTGCCCCACTGCACTCCAGCCTGGTGACAGAGTGAGACTCCGTCTCAAAAAATAAATAAAAATAAAAATAAATAACCCATCCCCTATAATATTCCAAAAATACAGATTCATGTTAGCTGAAGGGCAAAGCAACTAAAAGATAACTTTTCATAAACATGAATAATATTATTAAAAACTAAAAACTTTAAAAAAAACAGGCAAATAGAGCTAGAGAGAAAGAAAAGCAGCTTGGACAACTAAAAAAGAGCATTAAAGATGAAAAGAATAGAGATGTTTTACAGAAGCCAAGGTCTAAAAGGAAGGAAATGAATAAAGAGATTTATAGCTTAACCATAATTGCTTTTAAAACAAAAACAAGCAAACGAACAAAACCACAACTATAAAAGAGGTGATGGAGAACCTGTGCATCCAGGAAAGCGGATGACCATTTCATTCAACATTTATTCAGAATCTCAAACCCTACTTTCTCAGTGTAAAGCTAATGCTATTTGTTATTCAACTTTATATTCTCCTCAGTGACTTACATAGTAACATAGTAAATGTTTAATTAATGTTTGCTCTTGGTTTTTGAGGGCTCTGACACAAGCTCTAACACAGATTTAAGGATTATAGGGTGAATGAGAAACAACTGAAAGAGACTGGGAAACCAGAAGATCTTAAGAGCGTTCATTGCCTTGGTTTAGGTTATTGTAAGCCCTTTAATTTTAAACAGTAATCTCGGCCGGGCACAGTGGCTCAAGCCTGTAATCCCAGCACTTTGGGAGGCCGAGGCGGGTGGATCACGAGGTCAACAGATCGAGACCATCCTGGTCAACATGGTGAAACCCCGTCTCTACTAAAAATTACAAAAAATTAGCTGGGCACGGTGGCGCGTGCCTGTAATCCCAGCTACTCAGGAGGCTGAGGCAGGAGAATTGCCTGAACCCAGGGGGCAGAGGTTGCGGTGAGCCGAGATCGTGCCATTGCACTCCAGCCTGGGTAACAAGAGCGAAACTCCGTCTCAAAAAAAAAAACACAATAATCTCTATACAAAAATGCAGAATTTTTTTTTTTTGGACAGACAGCAATTACGCTGAACAGAAGTAATAATAAAAGGAAGAAACTTTCATGAACCTACATTCATGCAGTTCATCTTTAGACAAAAACTGTTTCCATTCTTTCCTTCATGTTTTCAGATCATAACATAATTATAAAGCTATGTACTTATGTTGTCTACCTTTTATAACTGTAATGTTAACCACAATAACAACATAAACATACAGGCCAGGCACGGTGGTTCGCGTCTGTAATCCCAGCACTCTGGGAGGCCAAGGTGGGTAGATCAACTGAGGTCAGAAGTTTGAGACCAGCCTGGCCAACATGGTGAACTCCCTTCTCTACTAAAAATAGCAAATATTAGCCAGGAGTGGTGGTGGATGCCTGTAATTCCAACTATTCAGGAGGCTGAGGCAGGAGAATTGCTTGAACCCGGGAGGCGGAGGTTGCAGTGAGCTGAGATTGCACCACTGCACTCCAGCCTGGGCAACAAGAGCAAAACTCCATCTCGAATATACATATACATATATACATATATATGTATATATACACTTTAGTGTGAAGTATTCTTTGATTAAACTAATGATAAGCTTTAAGGTTCTCATAATAAATAATTTCTGTTTCTAAAACAGAATGCCTGTAATACAAAACGTAAATTCCCAAAAAGGTCGGCTAACTAGTATGTGAGAAATAACACAGAAGACAATTTCAATAACCCAGCTAGTAACTGGTTCCTTAATTCCAAAGAGACAGTAATCTGGAAGCAAATCAAAATAATATTTTTCTCTAGAAATTCTCTTTTTTTTTTTGACACAAGGTCTCATTCTGTCACCCAGACTGGAGTGCAGTGACGTAATCATAGCTCACGGCAGCCTTGAATTTCTGAGCTCAAGGAATCCTCCTACCTCAGCCTCCCCAGTAGCTAGGACTACAGACACATGCTACGACCACACCCAGTTATCTTTTAAAAGTGTTTGTAATCGCTTCTCGGCCTTTCGGCCAAGATCAAGTATAAAAATGTTTGTAAAGACAGGATCTCTATGCTGCCCAGCTGGTCTTAAACTCCTGGCTTCAAGCAATCCTCCTGCCACAGCCCCTCAAAAGTGCTGGGATTACAGGTATGAACCACTATGACCAGCTTATTTTTCTATATTTTAACATATATATTCTGTTAAGTAGAAGTATTTAACAAAGGATTGTATGTTTTTGCTTAAAATGTACAAATAAGAAAGTATAATGGTTTCCTCACAATAAAGGTAAGATAGTTTAAGAAATGAGGACATTATATAACATTCCTCTACATTTAAGGATAGCAACAGAAGATGAAAATGTGTGCCACAGTTTCAAAATAAATATAAAGTTACTTATAGTAATAAGTAATTTTAAACCTCTAAAATTAATGCAAAATTTAGTCTCTTATAGAATAGAAATGCAGGTATCATTAGAAAGGTAAAAGACATAACAAAAAGTTAACAAATTTGATTCATACTACTAATGAATATCTGTAATTCACAACGTCAGACCAAGAACTTTAACAGATACCTAAATCCAATTATTTAACTAAATGAAGTATATTAGATTATGATTAAATCTTAAAAGATAAGAACATCTGTAATTTAATTCTCTTTTAAATACTAACATGATGATTACACACACATATATTCTACCAGTGATCTGAAAGTGAGCAATCTGACCCTATCATAAGTTATTATATAATATATATGGAGAATAAAAATATAATACAGACCCCTTAAAAAAAAGTTGATCAAGCATTTTATCTTCTAAAATCTACGTTAAATCCAAACATTTCCAGTTCTCAATCTGCTTTATCCTAACATTGCAAAGTCACTTTAATTCCATAAAATGATTACTTCCTCATCTGCAAAATCAAATAAATTTGACCAAAAACGTTTATGACCCCAGAAGCAGAAAGCACCAAACTAGATCTACTATAACATATCTATAAGGTTATATAATTTATTTTTAGCGTGTTTCTATTCAGTCTGTATTTTATAGTCACCTCTTTTTAAATGTTCAGCAAAAAAAGATATCTGAAAAAATTCACCTCATTATTGATGCTAAAACTTTGTAAATTTAGAATTTAAAAAGAGTACTAACAAGAAGTAGATTAAAACATACCTGGTTCATTATAGCCTTCTCTTAAGTACTGAATAAGACAAAAAATAAATCTTGGAAGAACAAATTCAGACATCATCAGTAAGTCTTTAGGGACACAGGGAATATTTGAACTTGATTTAATTTGATGCCTTTTGCAAAACCTGTAATATGAAAAAGAAAAAAATTAACAGTAATGTATAATCATCCAAAAACATATTATTTCTGTTTACAATACTCATAAATAGAATACAGGCCAATATAATCCTCCTTTGTGATTTTTAAGTTACCAAGTTAAAAGAATATAATTTTAATCAGTCTTTATATTAAAAAAGGCACTCAAGTAGATTTTCCCCAAGAAAAGACCATAAAATTAATAGTAAATTCCAAATAGAATACAAAAAGAAAAATCTCATTAGAGGGCACATTTGTTAACTGACATTTATTACTTTCAGGTACCTCTTTATGACTTCCACTCTTTTAAACCATTAAGAACATTATTGATCACTTCCAAAGAATTTACATTTTTCCTCACAATTTCTAACTTATTGCATTAATGAATAGATAAGTGACATAAAAACTTGAAGTTTATTTTAAAAGTGTATACACTTAAGTGTATTAATTCCTTCTAATCTTGTTTATATTCACTCTTTTTCCTTCCTTCTCTTTCTTTCTTTCTTTCTTTCTTTCTTTCTTTCTTTCTTTCTTTCTTTCTTTCTCTTTCTCTCTCTCTCTCTTTCTTTCCTCTCTCTCTCTCTCTCTCTCTTTCTTTCTTTCTGAGAAGGAGTCTTGGTCTGTCACCCAGGCTGAAGGGCAGTAGCAGGATCTCAGTTCACTGCAACCTTTGCCTCCCAGGTTCAAGCGGTTCTCCCTCCCTCAGCCTCCCGAGTAGCTGGGACTATAGGTGTGCACCACTATGCCAGCTAATTTTTTTAATTTTTAGTAGAGACGGGGTTTCACAATATTGGTTGGCCAGACTGGTCTCAAACTCCTGACCTCAGGTGATCTACCTGCCTCAGCCCCTCAAAGTGCTGGGATTACAGGCATAAGCCACTGCGGCCAGCCTATATTCATTTTCAAGTATGACTGGCATGCTTGAGCAAAAATGAAGTTATTCTTTTTTTTTTCCTTAGAGACAGGGTCTTGCCTTTTCACCCACATGCATCCTGAAAGTCCTGGGCTCAAACAATCCTCCCACCTCAGCCTCAGGCAGGTGCCACTATACCTGGCTTTTTTATTTTTACGTTTTGTAGAGACAGGGTCTTGCTACATTGCCAAGGCTGATGTTGAACTCCTGGCCTCAAGCGATCCTCCAGCCTTGACCTCCCAAAGTGCTGGGATTACAGGCGTGAGCCACTGTGCCCCACCCTGAAGAAAACTATTCTATAGTCAACATCCAGATAATCACAATTAAGTTATTCTGTGACCAAACACATAATTGTCACATTAAACATGTAAAATGCCTAGAAATAAGTAGAAGGGAAGAGAATCTATTTAAGCTGTAAAATACAAAAGAGCCGAATAAATCGAGAAAAACTACATTCCTAAATGGAAAAATCAATTTTATATGTTTTTAAAAGACAGTTTCCGCCAGGTGCAGTGGCTCACGCCTGTAATCCCAGCACTTTGTGAAGGTGAGGCCGGTGGATCATCTGAGGTTAGGAGTTCAAGACCAGCCTGGCCAATGTGGCAAAACCCCATCTCTACCAAAAATACAAAAATTAGCCGGATATAGTGGAATATGCCTGTAGTCCCAGCAACTCGGGAGGTTGAGGCAGGAGAATCACTTGAACTCGGAAGGTGGAGGATGCAGTGAACCGAGATCACACCACTGCACTCCAGCCTGGGTAACAGAGTGAGACTCTGTCTTGAAAAAATATTAATAATGAAAAACATTTTTCCCCAAACTTAATGCCATTAGATTTACATCCCAATGGAATTAATCACAAACTAATTCTAAAATTCAAAAGGAAGAGCAAATATGTGAAAAATACTATTAAAAAAGCCTGAAAATAAAAGATTAATGATAATGTACTGGACCTTAAAGCACAGTATAAAACTATTTTAATTAAAATTATCTGATAATGTGCTAACATCAATGGACCGCAATGGCCTGGGCATGGTGGCTCATGCCTGTAATCCCAGCACATTGGGAGGTCAAGGATGAAGGATCCCTTGAGGCCAGGAATTCAAAACCAGACAAGGCGACACACCAAGACACAGTCTACCAAAAAAAATTTAAATAAATAATTTTAAATGAACAACAATAAAGTCCAGAAAAAGTATATATAAATTTGTGATACATGTGACATCTCAATTCGATATGGTGGGGAAGAGACTTAATAAACTACTTTAGGACAAAATTTATTATTATTTAAGTGTAGGAAGCAAATTTGATTCCTATCTCATACTATATACAAAATATATTCCATATACATTAAAAATCAAATGTAAGAAGTGGAGCCTGGAAGAAAATTAACTATTTTCCTATATTATCTCAGAACATAAAAAGCCTAAGTTAAGACTTACAACCAAAAAGCCACAAAAGTAAGAAAAAAACCTGACTATGCAAATCAAAAGCTTCTACATAGAAAACAATAACAAACTGGAAAAAATATTTACAATATGTAAAAGAGATAAAAGATTAATATCTATGATTATAAATTCTCAAAAATGGATAAGGAAAATGAAACAATTCAGCAGAAAAATCAAGCAAGGTCATGAACAATTTACAATACAAGTACCAAATAGCCAATAAACAAATGAAAAGATGCTCCAGTTTTCTCTAATAATCAAAGCAATTGATTTTATTAAAACAAAAAATGAATAACTGGAGAAACCATTATGTTATATCCAGTGAAATAACTGACACATGCAATGGAGCCATTAGGTTTTCATTACAGTTACTTACACTTCTTTACAGTTCTCTGGTTCATTACAGTTAATTTTATTAGGTGTGATAATAATATTATAGTTATATAAGGACTATTATATCCTTATCAATCTGCCAGGTGCAGTGGCTCAGGCCTTAATCCCAGCACCTTCAGAAGCTGAGGTGGGCAGATTGCTTGAGATCAGGAGTTCAAGACCAGCCTGGCTAACATAGTGAAACCTCATCTCTACTAAAAAAATCCAAAAAACTAACCAGGTATGGTGGCATACACCTGTAGTCCTAGCTACTCAGAAGGCTGAGGCAGGAGAATCGCTTAAACCCAGAAGGCAGAGGTTGCAGTGAGCTGATATCACGCTACTGCACTACAGCCCAGGTAACAGAATGAGACTCTTGTCTCAAAAAAAAAAAAAAAAAAAAAAAAAAAACCTATTAATCTTAATATCACTAGAAGTTTAAAAAAAAAAAAAGAAACTATGATGTGAGTGAAGCACACAACACACCTTATGAAATGTTTTTATCAAACAAATTGAACTTGAATGACACCATGTCTCCAGAGCTAACCTCCATTTACAAGAAGCATGAGAGATAAAGAGACATGTTAAATGACACCACTAAAAAGCAAATAAATAAACATAGAATGTGAGGGATTATACAAGACAACTGACCCAGTTTCTGTAACCTGTCAGTGACAGAGGGGAATAAAGGGGTACCAGGGCTACTCTAGGTTAAAAGAGGTTTGAGAGAACCAATAAGCACATACAGTATGTAAACTAGTTCTAATAAATCAACTCTGAAAGGAATTTTTGAAATGTACTTTTTATCCTTTCAAAAAGGAAATTTCTTTCTGGGGAAAGCTGATTATAAACTGGGTACTAGTTCATCACAGTTGATTTTATTGGTGTGATAATGATGTTGAGGTTATATAAGAAAATGTTCATGGTTATTTGATGTTATAAGAATTATTTTATGTGGGTGTGACAATAAACTGTGATTATCACTAAAAAGTGAATTACTGGCCGGGTGCAGTGGCTCACACTTATAATCTCAGTACTTTGGGAGGCCAAGCCAAGCAGATCACTTGAATCAGGAGTTCAAGACCAGCCTGGCCAACATGGCAAAGCCCTGTTTCTACTAAAAACACAAAACTTAGCCAAGCGTGGTGGTGTAAACCTGTAATCCCAGTTACTCAGGAGGCTGAGATAAGAGAATCACTTGAACTCAGGCAGTGAAGATTGTAGTGAGCCGAGATAGTGCGGCACTGCACTCCAGCATGGATAACAGAGTGAGACTTGTCTTAAATAAAAATTTAAAAAAGTAAATTCCCTGTCTTTTAGACAGAGACAGCGATTTGCAGATGAAATGTTCTAATATATGGGACCTACTTCAAAATAATCTGGTGAGATAAAGGAAAGTAGATGGGAGTACACCAAGAGCAGCTCTGAATTGCTACTTGTTCAAACCAAGAGATACATGGTTTCATTATGTTATATTCATTAAACAGAATATGTATCAATATTAAAGTCAATAAAGTACTTGCTTCTGATGTTTAAGGAATTCATTTAAAAGAAGGTTAAATTTGTCTTTCTGTCAAAAATAATACCAAGGATTTTTTTTTTTTTTTTTTTTTTGGATTTTTTTTTCCTAACAAAAGACCATACTAGTTAAGTTCATTGTGCTGACTGCTTTTATATATGTTTTAAATTTCTTATAATAAAAACCTAAAAATCTTAAAAAGAAAAAAGAAACCCTAATCTTTAAAGAAGAAAACTGAATCATGTCAGGGTAAAATGACATGATTTGGGGGAGTGGCTTTAAAATACTTCAGCAAAAGGGAAAAAAGAGCAGTTGAAGCAAATGTGGCTGAAATCTTTAAAAATGCTGAGTCTGCGTGACTAGCATAGGAAGGTTCAATGTCCTGTTGTATTTACCTTTGCATATGTTTGGAAATTTTCATAATGTAAAAACAGTTTTTCATCTTGCAGATCAGGAAAAATTAACTTTGCTAATTCACTGAAAGCATGTTCAGAAATTTTTGTTGCACACATGGAAGAGTAACAGGTAGAGTTTTTGGTGGCACTTGACCATAACTATCAAAATTCTGAATGTTCGTAACACTAGCTTACCATTTCTATTTCCGCAAATTTATTATACAGAAATACCCCTAAATATACTCACAAAGATGTTCATTATACCACCATTTATAATATTAAAAAGTTTAAAAATGCATGCATTTAATCATAGAAGAAAAGTAAACCAAACTAATGGCAGATA